GTATAGTTTGAAGCATGTTCTGTGAGCCTTGTTTAAACGTCTGAATGATTTCCTTTTGTCAGTGGGGTTTAAGGCGTCTAAGACAGATGTGCCCTTATTTTACTATTTGGCTGTGGGGTCTCAGGTGTTTTTGCTTGTTTATTTGATGACATTTTATTGATGGGCAATGATTCCAAGCTAGTTTCTGAACAGATGCAACGTCTGCTTTGCGTTTAAGCTGCGTGATCTGGGATCACCTAGTTTTTTCTTTGGGATCCAAACTGTTCCTTTTGAAAATTGTATGATTTTGTCTCAAGGTAGGTACATGGCTGACATTTTGAAGTGTGCGGGGATGACTATTTGACTGATTGTAAGCCACTTGCTACGCCTATCTCGGTGGCCTGGTCGGTCTCGCCGTCTAAGGAGTTGTACGAAAATCCTACGCAGTATATGAGTTTAGCAGGTGCATTGCAGTATCTCACAGTTACACGCCCGGATTTGTCTTTTTGCAGTGAATCAGCTTTGTCAGCATATTCATTCTCCGACTGTAGCACATTAGACTATGTTAAACCGTGTGTTGAGGTATGTCAAGGGTACTTTGAATTTTGGTTTATGGTTGTGTGCCTCAAATTCTTTTGATTTGCATGCCTACTCAGATTCGGACTAGGTGGTAGTACTGTTGACCATATATCAACTAGTGGGTTGGCTGTTTTTCTTGGCTGTAATTTGGTGTCGTGTGTTTGCCGTAAACAACGCACTATTGTACGGTCTTCTACTAAGGTTGAGTACAAGGGGTTGGCTGATATGGCGGCTGAGGTCACTTGGATTGTTTCCTTATTGCGAGAGCTCGGTCTTCATTCGTCTAATCCTCCCAAACGGTGGTGTGACAATTTAGGTTCTACATATCTCTGCGCCAATCCTGTTTTTCATGCCAGAACAAAGCATACACGTTGAAGTTGACTATCACTTTGTTCGTGATAAAGTAGCTTCCAGTGATTTGCAGGTAAATTTCATTTCCACCAAAGACCAGGTTGCTGATATCTTCACCAAACCGCTAGCTGCTGCGCGTTTTGCGGTCTTGCGTGACAAGCTCAATGTTGTGGTCTCTCAACCTTGTGGTTGAGGGGGTGTATTAGGACTCTATAGGATGTGTCCTTGTATGTTTCTACTCCTACTACATATATATATATATATATATATATATATATATATATATATATATATATATATATATCGCTACTGTGTATTACTGAACTATTCTATTGTCAATACAATTCTTTGGCCTTTTCCACAACACTCATCTTGCCTAGTGCCCACAATATTAAAAATACTATACTACTATATAAACGTAGTAGGATTTATTTAGTTCCTGAATATAATCCTCATCTTCTATATTTCTTTTTTTTTTTTTTTTTTTAAATTAAAATTATGTTTAAAGAGTTACAATTTTTCTATTTGAACGTTGAATCCTATTCTATATATTTTGATCTGGTTAATTTTAATATTTCTCAAAATATATGTATATATAGGTAATAATAAGTAGCAAAATTTAAATGATATAAATTAACCAACACTAGAAACAAAATAGCTCGGCCTATGGATTCAATCATTGAGAAATTAGACAAATTTTCATACACCTAGTTCATAGGACTTAGGAGACATTGGTGACTTGCACACAAGTGAAGAATATGGTGAAATCGGCTCCACTAGTAGCTCTTCAATTTTGATGCGGAACTTTTAGTTGTACACAATGTAACAACTCGCATATTTATGTATTGTTATTATGTATATTTATTTATTATTTAATTTTTTTATATATTACGGAGTAGTATTTTTGAAATAGTTTTAAAGTTTTTCAACAAAAGCAATAAATTATAATGTTAATTAACTTTTTTTTTTGAATGGTACTAGCTCTATTACATTGTAGTATCTGTTCATATACTTTCTCAACCTACTGAAACACAAAGAGCTAATAACGCCTCCACTGAGGCTCAAAATCACAACCTTCCAAATGGAAGTCCAACTCGGATACCATTGGACCACATAGTCCTGGTATAATGTTAATTAACTTAAATTATGATATATACACTATTGAAAATTATGGAATTTCCAACCACCTGAAAGTGATCTTATATCAAGTCGAAAGCAAAAAGTGGTCAGAAATAGCAATAAAGGTTTTTCCGGATACGAAAAGTGGTCGGAACAAGGCTTTCGACTTGATTTAAGATCATTTTCAGGTGGTCGGAAATTCCATAATTTCCAGCAGTGATATATGGAAGGGTTTAGGTGCGGGTATAGTTCCCGTGCGGTTGTGCGGTTGACGCACTTTAAGCATTAAAATGGCGCACCTTAAGTACACAAATCACGCACCTTGCACACAAATAAAGCACCTTAAGAACACAAACCACGTGCACCTAAAGTTTTAGACCGACGCACCTTAAGTACACAAACCACACACCTTAAGTACACAACCCACACACCTTAAGTTTCGACACTGACGCACTTTAAGCACACAAACCACACACCTTAAGAAGGAAAACCACGCACCTTAGCAACCGCACAACTGCACTTGAGAAGGCCAATCACACGGGAACACACACACACACACACACACACACACACACACACACATATATATATATATATATATATATATATATATATATATATATACATATATATATAATGAGAATGATAAGAATTGATATGAGTATCTTAGTTCTTCAAGAATTCAAATATGACCACAAATTAATGAAAAAAAAACCTTTAAAAAAGAACGAGATAGAAACTTATAGAACCACAATGAATTCCTAAAATTTTAATAGTTTGATTCAAAATATTTATTATTTCTTGCTCTTTGAAAATTCAAGAGAAATCGTATGCATCTCTTTGAGCATTCAAATATGATTACATAACTAAATTTTTTATTTTATTTTAAAAACCTTTGAATAAGAACGAGAGAAAATTTATAGAATTATATTGGAGTAAATATCGTTGACTCTGGTAGTTTATTCATTCATTGATCATTTAAAATGTAAAAAATTCAATTATTTTAGTGTAAGAATAACTATGAGAAACAAAATTTTAAACAACAAACCTATGCTCAAGTGTGTATTTTATGTTAGGAAAAACATATTAGGAGTTTTTTTTTTTTTTTTTTTTTTTTTAATTTGTAAAATATCCAAGTTATTATGATTTATAGTATTCTTAAAACTAGTAATTCACCCGCGCGATGCACGGGAAAAAATTATGTTATTATAAATATAAATAAAAAATAGAAAAACTAAAATATTTTAAATTGTTTAATATAATAATATTTTTGAGCTTCCATTGGTCAAATATTTATTATTTTTATAGAGTACAAAATTACAATTAAAATTAAAATTAAAATTTTGTATGGTAATTATGTACATATTCAAATAAACTTATAGAGAGAATTTACATAATTACATTGATTTATTCTTAATTGTATTTCATCTATATTATAATTTTCACAATACGAATAATAACAAAGATAATTACATTTGGAAAGCAAATTTCAAATTTCGTATGAGTAAATTTAAACTCTAATTGAACACATTTTTTATATGATTATATAATATATAGCTATTTTATTTTTCAAAAGTACATTTTTTATATGATTATATAATATATAGCTATTTTATTTTTCAAATGTTGTGCTTTTTTTTTTTTTTTTTTTTTTTAATAATAAAGGATGTTGTGGCATTAATTGTAACATTAATTACTTCCCAAATCATATAGCTTTATTATAGTTAAGATATTTTATACTCACTAATAAAGCAAATGATATGTAGGTGTGAATAGGAAATAAAATATTAACCTTGAAAATAACATTCAAATGGCAGAGGAATAGCCACCTATACAAACGTGACAGAATTGTGCTCTAATAAACTCCTAAGCCCCACCAATAAAACCATTTGCTTCACATTATAAAATTCCTAATTAAATTTCTTCCAATTTTCGAAATTTTTTGTTGCTTAAAATTGTCAGAAGAAAAAAAATCATATTTATATGTACGTTCAATCTATTAGTCAAAATTAATGAATCAAGAAAAACTTTCTTGATGTGACACATAAAAATAATGCTTGGTTCGTTCAGTAATATTAATAATTAATTGGATAAAATCACATTAATTATTGATATAAATTTTTATTACTATATAGTATCAGTTCCAATAATATTGATAAAAATGAAGCAATTACTTAGATTTTATGAAAGCCGGTTGTGGTGGAGTAGCCAGAAACAATTCAGGCATATGGCTAAGTGGTTTTATACATGCAATCGAAACCTGTAAGACCATCATAATGGAAGCTTGGACTCTCCTCAAAGGCATTCAACTTGCACAATTCATGGGATATTGATGCGTCAAGTTGGAAAGTGATTCAAGGATATTGTGGATGGCACCGATGGCAATAAGAGGACCAGTAATGTCGTAGATAATCTTGTTACACATGCAAACGTGGACTAAGAAGTTTTGAAGAATGGCAAGTCACCTATATAGCCCGAGAGCAAAATAGAGTGGCAGATGCATTGACTGAAATATTCCGGAAGTTCCCACGAAGAACGTGTATTTTTGATTGACCCCAGATAAGATTGTTGACGTTCTTGAAGAGGATAGCATTAGTGTTATAAAGTGGCGCCAAGCGGAAAATGTAATCTAGTCTTCTCTATTTGGAAAAAAAATGTAATTCTCAATCCAATGATCAGATTGCAAAGCAAATTAATATACACACAAATTAATAACTATGCGGGTTCCAGTAACTTTCAAAAAAAAAAAAAACAACTATGCGGATTAAATTTAAATTAAATAATTTATAATGTGTTGGTGAGTTATTTATCTTTTTGTCCAACTGAACATTTAACAACTTTACCACATTTAAATCATCAAAGTACATTAATCATCATAAAAATTTATAATTTTTAACTATTACGGAGTATTTGTTTAATTTTTTATTTGGAGAAATAAATTTTATTTTATTTTCTCTTTCCTTTATAAATACATTTGTCCTCCATATCCATTTGCCGTATCGGAAAAAACCCCCTTAAATCCCTCCCAAACCCTTCATAAATTCTTTAGAAAAGAAAAACTTAAAATTGCGGAACAAATGATGATGTATTCTGCAAATCATCGGTGGATGATGGGCGATTCGGTGACGGCGATGCAGTCGGCGGCGACGTGGACTCGGTACGAGGACAAAGTTTTTGAGCAGTCTTTGGTGTTGTTCCCCGATGGGGATGATCGGTGGCAGAAGATCGCCTCTCGGATTCCGGGGAAGAGCGCCCTAGACGTTATTGCGCACTTCGAGGCGTTGGTTCACGACGTCGGCGAGATAGACTCAGGCCGGGTTGAGTTACCGAGTTACCCGGACGACTCGTTCGGCTGGGACCAGGGTGAGCCCAGCCAGATCTCTTTTGGTAATAGCAAGAAGCAGGGCGAGGCTGAACGCAAGAAGGGAACTCCATGGACCGAAGAAGAACACAGGTTGCTTACGCTTTAGTTATAAATTTCTATGATTCTTCAATATATATATATTTTTTTACGGGAATAAAATTTTGGCAAATTTTCTATAAGGTTTTTGATGAATTGAGCGAAATATTCTATATTTGATTGTTCTAATATTGACTTTTTAGGGAAAAAAATCATTAATTCTAGTGATTTTGGTTGTTTAAATATCTTTTTGTTTTAGAGCTTGATATCTTCATCTTTTAGATGAAGAAGTTTTGTTGGTGAGCTGAACCTAAGCTATAGTTTGATTGGAGTTGGTGGGAGAAATTAATTTGCAGAGAAGATGAGAATGTTCATAGGGAAGGCTCTTTTTTTTCTTCATTTTCCTTAACAAAGTGAACAATTAGGTTGGATTTCATTAATTCTTCCATGTTCAAGTGCTCAAATTCTAGGTTGCCAAGATTGTTTAGATTGAAGAATCTGGTGTTAAGACTTGATTGTAGATTCAATTAAAGACTGGGTCCAACTTAGAACACCATTGATGCATTGATTGATTTGCATAATTGTGGTCTCCACCTATAGTTTTGTGCATTATATGGCTATGATTCAAGGCTAAGAAAAGATGAATCATTCATGGAGTTAGTTGGGATTCCCCAATCACAAATGCATTGCATCAAATGGGAAATGGATAAATGTAAACAGGAGCCTGTTCTGCTGTCCACATCCTCCTACCTAAACAACCTTAATTAATGACAGAGGAGAAGTCATTCGTGTTGTTCCGTGGTACGATGGGTGGGTTATGGTAGAGACTTGTGATCATTAAAGAAACCTTTGACCGACCTTACTACTTTCCCTGTTCTTGGATGGATGGCATTGGTTGTGCACTTGTGTGGCCCTTGTGGATGATTCTTGATCATTAATTAAGTAATGTTGTGTGGGACTACAGAGAGATTTTATATTGTGGGTTCAGTAATCAGTAATCTCATTGGCTTGTTGGTTGACTTTTGTTTGTTCTGTCACAGGCTGTTCCTCATTGGTCTCGACAGGTACGGGAAGGGCGACTGGAGGAGCATTTCCAGGAACGTGGTGGTGACGAGGACCCCAACTCAGGTGGCGAGTCACGCTCAGAAGTACTATCTCCGGCAACAGTCCATGAAGAAAGAGCGAAAGCGGTCCAGCATCCACGACATTACCACCGCCGTGGATACTAAGACTGTGCCTCCTCAGACAAGTTTTGCGAACCAAGGAGGAGTTGGAGGAGGAGGAGGAGGGGGGTATCATCAGAACTACAACTTCCCCACACAGCAGGGATGAAACCATGAATAAAGAGAAAAAAAAGAGAAGGAGATGATACTTGTAAATGCAACTTTCCCAACTTGTAAGTATTCCTAGATTAGGTGGTAGTTGGTTTAGGGGATTAGTTAGGAGGGTATAAGTTGTTTGTGGCTGGCTGGTTGAGCTGAAGGGCAACAGTGACAAATTGTATGAGGAGGATTGTTATGTAAAGAGAACATGACTTCTGAATGATAAGATTTTTTTTTGAAAGGGAATGATAAGATTTAGTAAAGTTGAACTAGGAGGTGTTCTCTTCCTTCTTCATTCTTGATGGTTTATGCCCTAATGTGTATAAACCCAAGTTTATATATATATATATATATATATATATATATATATATATATATATATATATATATATATATATATATGGATGAGTTCTGGTGCGGAAATTTGCTTAGGTGCGAAGAAGGGGTTTAATATAAGCTTAAACTTAAAAAAGCAAACTGTAAAAAATAACACACCTTAGGAAGGAAAACAATGCATTACATACCTTAAAGAAGGAGAACAATGCAGTTTAAGAAAGAAAACAAAGCACTCTAAGAAGGAAAAGGAAAACAACGCACTTTAAGAACGAAAATCACGTACCTAAACTTTAAACCGACGCACCTTAAGAAGGAAAACAACGCACCTTAAGAAAAGAGAACATACATCTTAAGAAGGAAAACAACGCATTATATATGTGTGTGTGCGTGCGTGCGTGCGTGCGTGCGTGCGTGCGTGCGTGTTGGATATCATATGAGAACAAGTTTGTAGAAGAAAATTAAGAACTAATCAGAAACTTACATTTGGAAAAATTGAATGCACCAAATCATATTTTAAAAAAGAATCGCGGTGGTAGATTTGTAATTATTATCGACTTTACTATACAAACGTGAACACGAGAATTTGTAATTTTTTAAATTTTTCAAGTTCGCACATTTAGTATTAACGTTTTGCACGTACATTTAGTGTTAACATTTTGCATATTTAGTATTAAAAGTTTGCACTTGCAAAAATGCAAAAGTACATTGCAATTAGGGTTTAGATTTTAGAGTTTTATGATTGAAATTTTTATTTTATTTGGTAAAGTGGTTCACATTTTACTGCTTAAAGTCTAACATTTACAGTTTAGATTTAAAATTTAGCATTTTCATTGATTTTATAGAATTTACCAAGTTTGCATATTTAGTTGTTAAATATTGCATATTTAAGTGTTAAAGTTTGCACAGTAGAGTTGATGATAAAAGGAAGGATGTGAACTTGTCCGCAGTTTTATAGGTGTTCTGCTTGAAGTCTTTACTTGAATGTGCATTGAGTGAAGGTCACTTAGCCTATAAAGGATTATAACGAAGTAAACATAAGTACTATTAAATACAAAAAAAAATTAAATTTAAAAATAATTTAAAATTAATAACAAAATAAACAATGAAGAAAAAGTTGATTTGAACAATGAATTGAATAGTAAGCAAACAAGTAAAATGGGGAAGTATTTAGGTTGCCTTAACCGGTTCAAAATATGAAGGGTAATAGACAATTATTTGTTATCACTAGTGTATGTGTGTGCATATATATTAGGACTATATATTTGAGTTAGATTATGATTTCCTATCTCAGTCTCCCTGTGACTCTCTCTCTCTCTCTCTCTCTATATATATATATATATATATATATATATACACATGTAATCTGTACATTTGTAATTACATTGATTCAATACAATTCTGTCTGTTCTCATCTGGTATAAGTTTAGCTAGGATTTCCTTCCTAATGGTTGGTGTATCTGTTAATTCTTCGGAATGGACTGTCTCTAATGTTGGTATTTATTCGATCACATCAACCGTGAATTCTTTGTCCACTGCTCACCACTTTATCAGTATCAAACTGACCTAGAAGAACTTCCTGTTTTGGAGAGCTCACGTTGTTCATTTTCTCGATGGTCATGATTTGATGGGGTTCATTGATGGTATGAACCCATGTCCGCCAGTTTTTCTTCCGGCGAAGACGATACATTGGCGCAACTTAATCCCGTTCATCGAGCTTGGGTTTGACAAGATCAGGCCCTCCTATCCATGATCATATCGTCACTATCCGACGAGGTGATGCCGTTGGCCATTGAACATCGCACTAGCCAGACTGTTTGGGACGCCGTCGTCAACTCACTGGCTTCGTCGTCCCGTTCTAAGTCCTTGAATCTCCTCGGGCAATTGCAGTCCCTTCAGCAAGGAGATGCTTTAGTTGCGGACTACATCGGAAAAACATGAATCTTGGTCGAAGATCTCACCCTCGCCGGACGCCCGATTTTCCTTGAAGAACAGAACCTTTACGTTCTCAAGGGTTTGAGGCATGAGTTCCAAGGACTGACTGTAACACCCCCAAAATACAACATACGAGTCTAGATAAATTCATTACTTAAAGGTAGAAACATGGGTAAAGATATAGAATTAATGGGATCATCATCCACTAAGTATCTGGGGATGCTACCGTCGTAGCCATCCATACTAGGATGGTTACCCGGCTAAGGTACAAAAGATAAATCTCCCAAACAAAAGGATAGGGTTCACATACCCAAACAGCTAGAGTCACATCTCAACAGCTTGCAAAACAAGGCTCACAAGCCTAAGTGTTTAAGCACTAATCAAAAACAAAAAGTATACTACAATAAGTCCATAGTCTAATAACCAAGCTAGGAGCTAGAAGCAAAAATACAAGAATGATTTATATTTCCTTCTATGCGCGCTCAGCATTCAATCATCAAGTCTTGAAATGGGTTAAGTAAAAACATACAAAAGGAACCCGGTTAGCATAAAATGCTAAGTATAAACCACTCAACCTTGTAAAGTAGATATAGGTTTGGAAAATAAGTAGTTTTGACATTTACACAGGGACGGAACCAGGAATTCTGTTGAGCGGGGGCGAAGAAGCAGGGACGGGTCCATAAATTTTTTCGAGTGAAGGTGAAACATAAAAACAAAAGAGATAATTTGAAAAAAAAAATTACCTAACAAATATAGGTATAAATATTGTTGGATATGTGTGAAAAATAAAACACATCGAAATTTTATAAAAATATTCATAACAAAATATTTGAAACATAATTAATTTGATATTAAAATAATTTGAATAGACAACACATTATAAATTACACGTCTCATTATTAATATAAAAGAATGTTATATATATATATATATATATATATATATATATGTGTGTGTGTGTGTGTGTGTGTGTGTGTGTGTGTGTGTGTGTGTGTGGGTGTGTGTGTGTGTGTGTGGGTGTGTGTGTGTGTGTGTGTGTGTATTAAATATTATAAAATTATTAAAAGAGCCAAGAGAAACTGTGAAACTGTCAAAAAAGGACATTTGAAACCTAGATCTTCATTGTTACCAAACATGTGCTCTGCCAACTAATCTAACTCACTTCTTATTACCATTCATTAGTTTTTTATACTAATACTAAAACTTGTACTCTATATACATATATACATACAAAGGTTATATATGGGGTGAGGTGGGGGCAGCGTGGGGTGGGAGTGGCGGGAGTGGGGGCAGCTGCCTTCTTGCCCCCCCCCCCCCCTCCCCCCCCTTTGGTTCCATCCGTGCATTTACACATAACTTTACACGTAGGATCAAAGAGGATAGCGCAAGAATGTATGTATGTGTGTGTGTGTGTGTGTGTGTGTGTGTTTATATATATATATATATATATATATATATATATATATATATATATATATATATATATAATCTTATATACTTTTGTATATATATATGTACACATACCAACTAAATAGACATATAGATATGAATAGACTAAACTCACCCACATGCTTACACAGTTAACAGATATTCTTCAAGTATTCATGCTCCACACCACTAGAAGTGAGTAAAGAATATAATAGAGTAAACGGAACATGAATTCATAAGGAAGTATCAAAGTAAAGTGATCTTAAAACATATATGTTTATACATATATATTTATATTTAATAGATACACTCACCCTCAAGAAATGTATCATTTGCTTTATAATAATAATACTGGAGGTAACATAATCATTCTCATGGATCACATCTGTATCATAAATCTCATGGATCATAACTGTATCATAAATCTCATGGATCATAACTGTATCATCAATCTCATCTGAATCATCATAATGATGGGGATGTAGGAACTTCACCATATGTGAATGAACCTATCCGGGTATGGTCGTACATGACCGGTGATGTGGATCTTTGGGGATGAACTTGAGAGTCGATTCACCAAAGAGTCCTCCGGTTGCCCGATCTTTTCCTCACAAAACAACAAGAACAAAAATTACAGTTTAAGGGTGTTGGAGATGGAATTGGTTGATGTAGGGGTTGGTTATGGGATTATTTTTGTGTTTTTCTATAAAGATATTTTCGCCACACCTTGGTTTTAGGTGATAAGGAATGGATGGCACCACAAGATTGGTATTATCTTGATAAGCCTAAAAGAACATCTCCCAAATCACATGAGAGAAAACAAAAATGCCTTAGCATTTCTTTCATTCAACTTCATTCATCTCTATCTCTAAAATTCTGATTGTGCTTAGCCTTTAAATAGGCTAATACATAACTCTCAAGGAGATCAAAAGACTCCATTACAAGGCAATGAATGATATTCATTCATCCTAGACATGTAACCTAAAATAAAATAAATATAGCACATGAATAATATTAAAACTATACTAAATGAGAATTTATTTGCCTTAATGGATTGAGTTTAGCTTCATTTGAATTCTCCCAATGCAGCCACGAAAATTTGGACCATTTAGATTAATTCCTCACTTATTTTTGGCAAATTGCATGGATTAATCCATTTACAACCCGTCGCAATTTCTTAGCTTTTGAACTTGTAATTGTGACTTCTCTTATTTGTATGTTGATCTTTGAGCCTTTGGTTGTCCTCATCATTCCCTCACTCTTTGAGAAGATTCGTCCTCGAATCAAACTTGCCTCGGTCAAATGGAAATGAGTAAATTTCCCAACGTATGAATTGAATGTCTGCATCAATGAAAGTGAGTGATCCCATGTTTCCTTGAACTTGGCACAACATTACCACAAATGCATTTAACTTTTGATGTCCCTTTGTCATGCTTCCAAACCTATTCTCAATCCTTGAATTACATTCATGAACATGCAATAAACTTAAAACAAAGATTATTTGATTCTCAAGGTCTTCTCCCTCATTCTCTTTCTCACAA